GACGTGACTCGAGCAGGAGCAGAAGACGCGCGAAAGACAAGACGAGGAAGGAGAGTAGAGGCGACTAAGACTACCTACATTAGTAACTTAGCAAAGCCAATAAGCACATACCAGTAATGTACTCACTACGTTAGTTTGTGGGATTACAGGTTAGAAATATCTCTGTTAAGAACCGGCACATCCAATGTGTGAGAGCCAAGATTATCAAAGTTATCAAACGTTACAGTCGTTACTCTGTTCTGCTCTGTATTTGATTTTCACTCCAACAACTCTAAACTTATTTCCAAGATAGTATTATCTTTCCCAAACTCATCGGTTGAGGTGTATTCACATTAGTACGGTAAATACTGCGCCCACCCATGCAGAACGCGTACCTCAAGACTTTTTATTTCCACTCTAATGTGAATATCCTCATTTTTAAACACTTATTTCCTTTTGTAAGATTGAAACATATTATACAGGGTTATATTAGAACAAACTCTTTTATACACTTTATATATCATATAATACTGTGCGGTGTGCGTGATGGTTTCTTACCGGTGGTCCAGGCTCGCCAACTCCCTGAGGACCGGGAGGCCCTGGTTGCCCCTGGAAACCGACATCACCCTGTGGAGTGTGAGAGAGCGAGAGTGGTGCAGGAACAGGATGAGACACAGGTGGATTATCATGCTTCATGACTTTATTTTCATTAAACAATAGGTTGGCAAACTTTACCTTGGGTCCCGGAAGGCCAATCCCTGTTTCCCCTTGGATTCCAGGTGGCCCAGGAAGTCCCCTTTCTCCCTATAAAAAGACAGGCAGGGAATAGACATAAAAACACGCACACACAGATGCGCAAATACACTGCTTTGTTCTTCTGATTCCTGTGTCCACGGCCTCCTTTTGACATGATCGGACATTGGTAGAGCTGTGCAGGTTTTCAGACGACCGAATCCCGTAAAAAATACAGACTTTCTTCAGTTTTCTTTGGGATCCTCCCACTACACACATAAACACACTGTTTATCCCCCTAATATTCAGCTATTTTTACAGGGGGTTTAAACATATACTATTCCTGTTCTTCCATTCCTTCAGTCGAGACTTTATTGGTAAAGAATGCAATTATTCACTGAAAGGTTGTAAATCACAACCATGGTGTGCAGCAGGAGGGCACAGGAGAGGCGTGAAGAGGGCGTGGAAATGTTAGTTGCATACCGGCATTTTTTTTCCCTTTCCCCTTGCCCTTTCAGGCAAGTTGGGACAATGTTTAAAGCCAGACATTAGTCTGCCATTCAGGTGATATAGGATGACAGCCAGACAATCTACATGAACATTCTTCCAAAATAATTAAGGAGGGAACACTTGGTGGGGAGTGTTGGCTCATGGCAGAATTGGCAGCTACAACACGGAGCTTAAAAAGTATGAACAGACAAATAGGCTGACAAGGTAATAACAGATGAGGTGCTTCAGTGAGGGGTTTCAAACGTTCCAGTGGCGATGGATCATAACTCACACATAAGTGTTCAAATGTATGGTCACCCGATCAGTGTAATCAGTTTGTAGGGCTACTTGACATTTGTGATGTTATTTATGCTCGTGATGAATTGATTTAATCTAAACACATTTTAAATGTCAACTTCGTGAGTGTAATGTTATTCTGAGAGAAAAATCTCAGAAACAGAAGGAACACTTTATTATGGCACATGTGTTTTCCCCACTTTATATTCTTCCACATGCAGCAACACATTTCATTTTTCACCTTTGACACTTTGCAGGTAGCAAAGTTATTAATTATCTTTGTGCTGGTGAATCTGCTGACATTGATGCCCCTTTCATACAACTATGAAAGAGACTTAATTCAAACCAGACCAAGAGACCCAGTCTTCTTCAGACATGCATCTGGTTATGGAAAAGCGAAAAGCGCAAAGTGAATTCACTCTGATGTAATGGAGTGAGGAAAAAGTTTGATTTACTACATTCTTAGTTTTCTTTTGTACCTAAACACTTCCCAGATTTCAGAAATTTGGTTCAAGCATGTCAAAAAGCAATTTCAAAAGCATCAAGACAGAGGAATACTCACTTTTTTACCCATTGAACCTTCAGGTCCGATATCGCCAGGTGGACCAGAGAGACCCTGAGTTGTTAAAGGTGTGAGAGAGTTACACATTGGGTATTGCAAAGCAGCAGTTAATGTAGATTATCAAGGATTAATCAGACCCTGAACATGAACTACTACATTATTTTGTGGGATTATGAATTAGGAGCAAAGCAAAACTTGAACCTTTGTCTTGCTTTCAACCAGTTCACAGAGTTAGTGTTAATTTGTATTTATAATATATATATAATAAAATCTGCTGCCAGCAGTTGTCATTACAAGCCATACATTTTTATTACTGTAAAATGCATATGTGTTGTGCTAGAAGGGATAGCTTGACAGGTGTAGCAACGCTAACTAAAAACTAAAAAGCCTTAGCGAAGGGTCAATTGGATTTTATGATAAAAAAAATGGTAGATTTTACCTGGAGTCCACGATTTCCTCTTGGGCCAACGGTACCTTCAGGCCCCTAGAAAAGAACAGGAGTTGCTTGAAATTCATAATCCATGGTAATCAATACAAAACAGTACTTTTATCCTAACGGGGTTGTGTGTGTTATAATGACAGAGTGGTAAATAAAAGTAGAAGTATGTAGTATGGAGAATGACCTGTAACTGGTACCGTAAAATAAAACTATATCTTTTTATTGAGGTCAGTTATTTATATTTCACTCTGATAAAAAAGAATTCTGACTGTATCACTGAAAAAATGACAAAAACAAAATAAAATTGAAACAGAAAATTACACATGAACATTAAAGGGCAACATACTCTGTCTCCCTTAATTCCAGGTGTGCCACACTCCCCTCTCTCTCCCTGCAAGAGAATAAAAAGCAGTTTAGTGAAGTAGCATAGCATCATTTTGCATAATTTCAGACTTATAATCAAATCCCATAGCTATCCTATAACAATGTTGAGCAATTTCCAAGCAACAACTTATCTTGGAATAATGGGTTTTAATATCCCAGCCAGGAGCTGGTTTCCAACAACTAATGTCATGTAATTCCTTCAAAAGGAAAGTAACTAGAGATACTTACAAACAGGCTTGACATTAAACACAGATGAAAAAAGGAGAACAAAATGGCATGATATTTTTAAAGTCTTTACCGTGTATGCTTCCTTTCAATGCACTTTATCAGGTCTGGAAAACATAATTCTCCAGCCTCTCTCACTGATGCAGATTTTCCACTAGCGTGGGAACCTGACACTTATGAACCACGGGGGCATATTGAGATATATACTAGCAGCAGAATCCATACAATACCTTCTCTCCTTTGTATCCAGGTTTTCCCTGTGTGTACAAAACAGTAATGTTAAGTAAAGAGAAGACAGGCAACAACCAAAGCAGAACAAGACCCTTTTCCTTTTAGACAAATTATTATTTATAATGTTTTTATACTGTAATTGTCGACTTTACTTCATTTAAAACCCTCAGCTCACCTCGGATCCTTCCCGACCCGGAAGTCCACTCAGCCCACCCTCGCCCTACAGGAAAGAAGGATTTTAGTTTTACTAGGAAATGCAACCATCCTGGTTTGTGCCAGCAATAGTAGGTTTGTATTATGTAACTGATAGTTGTATGTAATATGACGATACAGCACCTTCTGTCCTTTTGGGCCAGGGCTTCCATCTTCACCAGATCGACCCTTCTTCCCCTGTAGAGAAAGTCATGGAAGCACCATTAGGCAGAAAACAAGTGCAGTAATTTGCAAAGAAAGCAGGAACTTTAGATTGACGGGTTTGCAGCATAAACTGATGTTTCAGCAACTGTGTGCCTTTCTCAGAGCTTAAAGGGAAAAGCATGACAGCATTGTATATATAGCTCCTGGGGATGCATGAAATCATCTGTAAGTATGACTTAAATATAAACCTACAGCCTGCAACTGGTTAGCTTAGTTTAGCATAAAGACTGGAAGTAGAAGAAAACAGGAAGCCTGGCTCTAGGGAAATAAACGAGATAACGTGTTAATTAGTGAGCCTTTGTGATGCTGGCAGATGGATTTTGTTGCCTTTGGACAGAGCCAGGCTAGCTGTTTCAAGTCTGTATGCTAAGAACCATCTCCTGGCTCCAGCCTCATTCACTATACAGATGTTATTGTTATCAATCTATCTAACTCTGCAAGGAAGCAAATTAGCGTAATTCCCGAAATGTCAACCTATTCCTTACTTACATACAATAGTTTTTTGACATAGTCTGCAGGCTACAGTAAGATATATATCTGAGACCACAGTATATACAGTATCAATCAATAATCTGTTAATTGAAAGGAGCATAGACGGACATTTTACTTCTTTGCTTTGTTGTTAAGAGTTAAATGAGAGGATGGTATACACGAAGCTATAGCCAGCAGCCGGTTAGTTTAGCTTAGCATAATAAATACACAACTTTGTTTTTTAATAATTAAATAAAAAAGGAATAGTAAAAATAAGATTGTTAGACAGATTTTGTTTACCGTTAGACCGAGACAGACTACCTGTTTTCCCCTGCTCCAGTCTGTACAAGCTGAGCTTACTAGCTGCAAGCTTCACATTTAATGTACAGACATAAGAGCGGTATCAGTCTTTACATCTAACTCAAGCACAATTCCCCAAATTTGGCAATGACTTTTTATCCTCCAGGAGACACAGCTGTAACAATTGTCTCATGTAATGCCAATAGAATAATCTTCTTTCTTATTAGCTGCCTTATATTCTGCAATATGCAATGTAAGAGCTCTTTTTCTTGACCTATGAAGTGCATCACGGATAAAGGCCATTGAGTCTGGGAGCAGATGAGTCAGAGGGGATTTCAAGTTGTCTGCATGTGTGTGAGAAGACCTACCCGAACAACTGTCTGGCTCTTCTGCCTGTTTTCATGCGTGTGTGTTATGGACTGTGCATGTTCTTATCTCTCAAATATCTCCCTGTCTGTGTGTGTCTGCCTGCACACACTGCTTCCGTCAGTGAGCGCCTGCTGCCCGTGATGTGAAACAGCTTTTGTTCGGAGCATTAGGTTTAAGGGGGTAATTACTCTGTTCTCATCCTGTGAAAATACATCAAAGCAAAACCACTACGTCTAATTGTGGCTGACCTTCTCTGTGTAATAAAAGGAGTCCTCGCATCACGACATGGCTTTGGCAGGCGAAGAAAGTCACGCATGTAACATCTTATCCAGCGAGCATGTGTCCTCAGACAATCCCAAGTGGCTGAGTTCTTTCAACAAACATGATTCTGCTGATTTTCTATGTACATATCTGTTTAGGCCTGTTCTCAATAAACTGTATGAGGAATGTAAGGCATTTTCTTTACTCTTACTGCTGCAGGGAAATAGAGCTCCTCAAAACCGCACGATTTACTAAAACCCCCCCCAAAACCCTGCAATTATTTAGCCTGTTAGCATGAAGGGTGCCTTTGTCAGCTGTGTTGTCCTCTACAGCACTTCAAAGGCAGCCAGTTTGGAGTAATTGTCTTTTAGGGGCAGCAGAAGAATACAAGTGGTTTTCAAAAAGAGAAATTTGATCCTATTGTATGTAGCAGAGGAGGGCCAATACGGAACCACAAAGTGTTCAATATTAAATGAAACAGAATTAAGTCCTATAAAACTCCTAAAAAAATAAGAATGACTAATAATTGCGTTATAATCATAATTATTTATTTATGTAAGCTTTAACCCTTTGGAGCGCCACAGGTCAATGCTGGGTAGGAGGAATACTTACAGCAGGGCCGCTGGGTCCCCTCTCACCCTTTTCACACGCACACTTGCTCTTGGCCAGAGGACACTTCCAACACAGGGAAAGAAGAGTCAGGCGAACCATCCGGGAACATGAATCAAGAAATGTGCGGAAAGACCGCAGTCTGGAGACTTACCCCTTCATCCGCCAGCGCCGTCTGTGGAGAGAGAAACACAAGAATGTTGTCACATTTACTCCATATGGTTTATATATACCCCATCAGCAGAAATGTACAGAAAGAGATCCAAGAAAACCAGCCTAATACAAAACCAGAGTTAAGCTTTTAATTCTGGTCTCAAAGTTACACTGTAGGATTAGACCGGAGCTGCAAACACCTGCTACTAAAACACCCAATTAAACCTGTTCACTGCTGGCCTGGGTTCAGTTTGTCAAATGTTCTTCAACCTTATCCACCTCATTCTGTGTGTGGACGTCCAGCACTTCCCTCTTATAACACACACTTCTTACCTAGATTTTCATCCCACAGGTTTCTTTACTCTGATAACATTCTTTTCACAAGAGACTGGTTCGAACCACATTCATTGATCAGTAAAATAGCCTCGCTAAGCATCCAGGGGATGTCTCCGTAGTAGGGAACAGACAGTCTGTCCGTTTTCAGACAACAAAGTGATGCAGTCGAATGCTGGGACTAAAGATAAAAGACTCAGCTGTGATAAAGACATGCTTATGACATACAGATGCTGCCTGCACAGGGAAATGAGATGCTTGTGGACTGGCTGCTGCTGGGCTCTTGCATGCCAGCAGAATGCAGGCTGTCAGGTTCAATGCTGCCTCGCAATATTTCTATAAAGGTTTTCCTTATCATATTTGGATGTGTACCACCTGTGTCAACAGTAAGCCTAGTTTGAAGTGGTGCTTGAAGAGCTGGTTGAACGATGTAGCGTGCATGCATGTTCTTGCTGGGTTCCTGCTCTTACTGCGCCCAGTTTTCCCACAAAGAGTTTTAATGCAGAGCATATGTTACAGCCAACAGCCTGGTTGTGTCTGCAGGGTCTTTCTGTGCAGCACATGTTCTAATTATCTTAGTGGAAATTTATTGTCGGTTTATGAAAGTAACCCCAATCACTGAAGTCAAGATAAACATTTGGAAATAAAGATAAACTTTGCCACGACCAAAGGACAATCACAGAGCTTCACATTTTTTCTGCCAACTGCTGATTTTAGAGTGAAATTCATTTTCGATGACTTAGGTGATGATAGCAGGCTTGTTACTATGGCAGCAGGTAGCAGGTGTACATCAGGGATGCAATATGCCAAGAGATCATAGCAGTGGGTGGTGTCAAAGACAGCACAGGGGAAGTGCTTATTGGGTTCGTGGAGAAGTAAAAGACGCTGACATTTGATCCTTTTGGCAAAAGTCTGCGTAATGACTTACGCATGAAGCATCCACCTGTTATAAATCACTGGCCTCAAGCATCAAACATACATGCAATTTTACAAAAGGTAAGTGCCAAAGAAATGTAGGAATGTTTGAGCTTGCAAATGGATAGTGTGCAAGTCTGATGAATGAAAATGTATTCACAGAGCTGACTTTGAGGAATTTACACATTTGTAAATGAGAAGGATCTCTGTGACACCTTTATGAAAAAAGCTGATGAATAGGGAGGAATCTATTAAACTACCACTTAAAGTGAGATTGTGTATCTTTTGTTACACAACAAAACATTGGCATAAAAGTAAAAGGTGGGTAACAGTAGCTCAAGTACAGAAGAATCATCAACTCAGCAAGCTGACTCAGTGTCCATCAAACAACGGTACGTATTTTCTTTCTACTTTTCTAACTTAAGCCTCCGTTGCCTTCTGGTCATATCAGAGCATGCAAAGCTGTGTGGGAGCAAAACCTTCAGTGCATTGAATTAAACAAAGGTGAGTTTTATTGCTGGTAAATTTAACTTTTGCTCTGTTAGAGGAACAATGTGGTATTAAATGATCTACATTCAATCTGAAACAAATCAAAGTAAGATTATCTTTTACTCACAATCTCCTTGATGACTTTTTCCACAATGCCTCTATCCTGCAGGTTGTGAAGGTAGCGTGAGGCTGGGGAGCTAGCAATTAGCCGCAGCTGAGCTATATTGGCGGGCTCGTTGGCTTCAGGTGTGATGCCTATGGTGAAGAAGCGGACGCCCTGGTTCTTGGCATCAGCCACAGCTGAAAATATATCTGGGTTCCTGGGGTGCGAGATTCCGTCAAACAGCAGAACTGCGACCTTGATGCTGCTGGGAGTCGACTCCTCCAGGTAAATACGGGTGAGGTTGGTGATGGCGTAGGTGGTGTAAGTGCCGTGGCCGATGTACACGATGGGAGCGATTCTGGCCTTGAAGTCAGCAGGGCTTCTCCACTGCTTGAAGGTCTGCTCTATGATGACATGGCTGCTGTACTGCAGGAGGGCTGCACGGGAGCTGAGCCCCTGACCGGTCTGCAACCGGAGGCCCTGCAGCCGGTCCATCACGTCTGAGGCAAATCGCTTCTCCTGGGCATGGTTGTCCTTGGCGCTCTCTGAGCTGTCGATCAGAAAAGCCAACTCCAAACTGCAGTCTTCATCGATGAGTGCTGAGAAACAAGAAGAGTTAGCAAGAGTTGTAAACCCTGTCTTCCAGAAATTACATTGTTAGGTTTCCTGCCAAAATATCAGATGCCAATACAAATTAATTGTCATTGAGTCTGGGAGCAGATTCAGTGGTATTTATCCATAATGCACTTCAAACATGTTGCTTCTGTGAGACTATATAGGTCAACAAAAAGAGCTCTTACATTGTGTATCACAGAACATAAGGCAGCTAAGAAGATTATTCTATTGGCTGTCATGAAACATGAAAGTAAACCATGGATTGAATGAAAAACAGCTGTTTAACATGTTTAAGTATCTCTTACAGAATGGAAAATCACTGCCCAAAGGAAAAGTTCCACACTTTGGAAAATACAATCGTTTTCTTTCCAAGAGTGTGATAAAACACTGATACTATTGTCATGTCTGTGTGCTATAAACAAGGACAAACAGCTAGCCTAGCTCTGTCCAAAGGTAGTAAAGTCTTCCCACCAGCACCTCTAAAGCTCACTAATTACCATTTTATTTCTTGGTTGGGAGCAATGATTCCTGGAGTCTTGTTATTACAGGAAGCGTATGAAATAAAGAAACAAGATATAATATGATTAGTGAGCCTTAAAAGGTATTGATCGTTGGATTTTGTTACAATTGGATAAAGCCAGGCTAACTGTTTCCGGTCTTTATGCTAAGCTAAGATAACTGTCTTCTGGCACTAACTTCATATTTATTTAAGTCTTGGCAAGGAATAAGCTTATTTCCTAAAATGCCGAACAATTCCTTTAACTCGGGTCATAATCCATACGAGCAAAGAGCACCAAGCAACTTTTTCGTAAGAGGAGCGTCTGCAATTACATTTAGGTATTTTATCATTAGACAGAAGCTGGCGATAGGTTTCATAACAAACCTCTGACTTAACAAATGACCAAGTTACCGAATGTAATGTATTTTTCCTGTATTTTCTGTTGCCAAGTTGGCTGTCTAGACCTTTTTTCAATTATGATATATCACTTACTACTTTCATATTTAGCCCAATATAAAGACCCAACAGATCACAGACAAATGGATTTCATGAGTTGGGGAGGAATTTTTATCTGTGGAGCCTTCAGAAGGGGTAAAGGTGATTTATTGACTGTTTAGGCCCTATAGGCTGATGCCTTTTCAAGAGAAGTGTGATAAGTTCATGAATGTGACATATAATTTTGAAGAGGAAATAAAAGTAACTCAACTTGCTGCACCAACCTTCAGCAATGGAAGGAGGTCACAGATCTAATATAGGCTGAGGATAAATCACATTAATCTTCACAGAAATATGTCAGAGAGAGAATGTGCCCGGGGAAACAAGATTCTGAGCGAATAAAACATTTGGGTAACAGAGCACTGAACGGTCACACAGGAGACGGATGGCTTGGAGAAACCTAAGAGATATGATCAATCCAAGTGGATTGCATCCTCCAGCAATGTCCTTGTTGAGTATCATGTTCTAGTTTTTCACCTGTGGCAGCACCTTTTTTTTTTTCTGGTGATGAAAAAAGTGAAACATGTACCACCTGCATTCCTCTCTACTTTTCCAAATAAGAGCATCAGTGTGGGAAAAAAGCCAACAAAGAGGCCTTGGGAAAAAAGTAAAAAAAAAGAGACAACTTTAGACTTACATTTGCCATTTTGTGGTATGGAATTGGATGGCAATTGTTTGCTCTTCCTCCTGGTGGTCACCACCTCTTCTTCATAGTCTTCTTCATAGTCCTGTGCCAAAAGACCTTGAAATCCCCACAGTAGCAGGAGCCAGTGCACTGAGGGGACCATGACTTCCCTGAGAGATAAAGAGAAGACAGTGATGGACAAAAAAAGACCCAGACACGTCCTCACATTTTAATACCTTCCTGCACAAATCCTGCAGGCACTTAGAGAACAAGCTTTAACAAGCATGAGTGTGTGACACTCAGGCATCAAGCATGCATAACTCACAATGTTGCTGACTTAGGTCTCCAATATGTTCAGCTCTGTAAAGCTCTCCTGGCAGAGAAGAAATTCAGAAAAAGTGCAAATAGGGAAAAGGAGAGATTCTTCATTCAGAGTTAGTCCATGTCCTGAGCATCTCAAATCCTCCTCTGTTGGATCTTTGTTCAGAGTGTGCAGGTCAAGTAGGCACCTTATAGTGACAGCAGCAGCAGTGCGTTGCCAAAGGTTTAGAGTGTATTCTGGGTCTCATGAGACTCCAATTCATGCCATTCTCAGCTCACAGTAAATGAAGGGAAGTCCAGCCCTTTTTTCAACTCACTCCCATTTTGGGGAGAGTGCGGGAGGGGTGGCTGGGGAGACAGAACAATGAGTGCATTTCCCCCTTTTTTTATTAGATAGTGTCATTTTTATGCTTTGTTAGCCATGCTATTTAAAACAGGACCAGAAAGCCCCTGGGAATAATAGCAATTTGTCCTTTTCCACCAAGACAGCTGGTTGAAATCCAACCAGAGCTTTATCATTTTTTTCTCAATGTGTAATATGGTAGTTAGCGTTAAGGTCGTGTCCCTGGTAATATTTCTGGAGAGTTAAGGGGTTTATAAGACATTTAACACATTTTTAAAGGCTGATTCAAATGTTTGACTGTTTTTATACCAAAACTTAAAGCACAATTATGCTACTTTTGAAAAAAGAAATAACACAACCTTCCTCTTACAGATAAAAAAATTAATTTATAAGCAATAAAACACTTGTTTAATTCAGTAGACTCAGGGGTTTTGCCGCTACAGTCTTGTTTTGGTATGAACAGAAGCTTATGGTGGCTAATATTAGCTAACCTTTAATAGATATTCCTATTCATACTTGTGATACTACACTGTATTTTAGCTTTTACCATTATACTGTAATTGTTGCTTGGGGCTACATTTGGACTGTTTAGTAAACGTTAAATAGTCTTGTCATAGTTATCTATTTACACATCCAGCACACAGCATTGTTAGTGTTCATTTGGACTCTTTTTGGACCTGTTTGGTCTCAAATATCTTCCTCTTCAGCTACTAAATGCTCACCATGTTCATTAGCTCTGCTAACTTCTAGTCGTCAGGGGAAATCAGTGGTGCTGGGCAGGTAATGTAATCTGAAAAAGGCACTATGAGAACTGTGTGAATGAATCAAAACAATAAAGTTGCAGGATGTAAAACCAAAACAACAAACTAATATAAGCTATAAAGCTTCATCAAGCCGAGGGGAGCTGTAGAATTACTACCAGCGACACCTTTCACATTAAACAGTCATTTGATCCATTGTTATTATATAAATATCTATTATAGCTACTTAAAAGTATATTTTATTTCAGTTTTTTGTATTGGGCCTCCAGAGAACCCCCCCCCCTTAGAATAATCCATAAAGCTGAGAAAGTTTGGATAGGTGATTTATACCTTAAGGCAACACATCTTGCAAAAGCAGTGTACCATGACTCACCTGAAACACCTGGAGCAGTCATTTGTTAGTCTTTTTCTTGGCACGTTTTGCTGTAAACATTTCCAGAAGCCAGATATAAGTAAATTTGTATGAAGGGTAGGGCCACAGTAACAACTCCTGCACATTGCTTATTCATTCATGTTGTTCATATATAATTAAAATGGTTGAGATCTACCAAGATGCATTTCTTATATATCCTGTACACCCAACATTCAAAACATTGGGTTCTGTACGTTAACACAGGAGGACGTTTCTTTTCTGGCAGAAGTCTCTTCAAAGCCGGATGTGAAAGGCTATAACAGTGCACTTCTTTAGAATCAGTCCAGTTTTTATTGAAACCTGATGCTTGTTCAGCACCAAAGAAAAATCTCATAACTCCTTAATCTTATTATAATTCCTATGTAGTCTTGGATCAGAGGAGTCTTAACATCCCATGAGACTGTCTGCAACCATATAAGCTGGAACTGGAATCACATAACTTTGCAACAGGGATGAAGGCGTATGTTTTTACTGCCTACTGCATTACTAAAAGGAAGGAAAGGTGAGCTGTCACTCAAGAATGCTCCCTCTGAACGATGGACCTCCTTAAATTAGGTTCAGCTCCTTGTCCTTCGTGTGGAGAGCTGATTAAGCAAAGTGAGGATTTATGAGAATTATTTTTGTCGTTTTAATGTTACGTCTGTTTGGATCTACTTTGCAGTGAGAAATAGGAAGCTGTCATTGCTGATATGTGACTTTAAAAGATACTGCTTTGGTTATTTCATCTGAATGAATCAAACTTTAATGGCTTAGACACTTTTTCCGGTGCATAATACACAATATATGGCAAAACTAGGACACAGCATAGCGCTAAATTTCAATATGAAATACCTTATCTGAATTGAAAACCACAAAATTTCTAGGTTGGGTATTCTGAAATAGCAGCAATACCTGTTATTGCTTTTGTTCTCACTTTGCTTTTCTCTCGCAGCAGAAATGCTTAACTAAGTGTGCATTAACTCTACTGAAAGGTTTTCTACAAGCAGACCCCACACAGCAATTACGTGACATTCATTCAATGAGAAGATGGTCTTATCTAAAAGAGCACAATGATGCAGACACCAATAAAGGGCATCAATAAAGAGCAGGACATGGCATTTTTTATGTCATGCCACACAATTTAATTTAATGAGCAAATGGTTTCCTTGGGAAAGGTGTGTGGCATGAAGAGAGGAGGGAAAACAAAACAAGAGTGAAGCTTTCTTTTATAACACTGCGGAAGCCACCACTTAGCTCTTTGATATTCCTTAACCCCTCCAGGTGTCTTTCCTGTGACATTTGGTTTAATCACGGTTTTTACAAGATAATGCATGTTCCTTCAACATACAGTTACAGCATCGCGGAGGACGCCACTGACATCAGTTGTGTTGATAGTTAATGGGTGAACAGCAAATCATAAGACTGGACGATAACTCGGAGCGATGAAGAAGATATGTATGTCCCAACAAGTTTTCATACCAGTCTGATCTAAATGGGGGCTGACAGCTGCACCTCAGACTGAAAAAAAACTGAAAACAATCCTTATTGTGTAACTGTCATAGCATATCAGAAGAGTGTGTTACTGGTTACTGAGCCACAAACATTCAGCTAGAGTTGTTAAATCCCAGATAAAATGCATAAATTACTTTAAAACAGGCTTTGTTTGTGTTTTTTGTACCTGTGAGGCTGCACTCAGGTAGAGCGGTGCTTTGAAATAAATGTTGACGTCATGCTGACAGGCTGACAGTGACAATATTAACACGCCGGTGTTTAGCAGATATTATGTTTACCATGTCCAGTTTAGTGTCTTAGCATGACAACTTTTGCTAATTGGCTGTAGACATTGAGTTCAGCAGCAGTGTTTGCAAGTATTTGGTCATGAAGTATTGCACAGATTTAAAAAAATCAATGGATCATCAAAGTTATAAATATGGATCCTGAGGGCAACATGAATGCAGGTATCAGATTTTATGGTAATCTCTGGAATAGGTTTTTGAATTTGACATGTGCCAACATGATGTTTAAAAAGTGTAATGTTTACTTGATAATGGTCTTGGACATCGCTACGTATTCACTATATTTGCTGTCCACCATCTTTTTGAGTCTTTTGAGTGTTAATTTTGTGCTCTTATGATTAGTAAGTGCCTGTAACACATTATGTAAAAAGATTGCATCAAGTTTTTCACTTCATTATGTAAAACACCTGCATTTAATAATGTGTAACACATTTCCACACATTTTGTAATAAATTACCACATAATGTGGTGGCTAATGTGGGAGTTGCAATTTTTTATGAACTGCATTTTGAACAAGCTGAAGCTTTTTGAGAAACCCTGACCAACATCATAATTTAAACCACATTATGTAACAGATTGTGGTGGCTAATGTGTTACGTATTGCATTCATGCTGTTTATTACAAAATGTGGCAGATGTTTACAAAATGTGGATGCTGATCATAATGAAGTGAAAAGGTATTACATTATGTCGAGTTATTATCACCAAAACCACTACATCCTCTCGAGACCATGAATGTCTGCACAGCCTTTTATGACAATGTATCCAATAACTGAGGAGATATAAAGACCGACAACAGGCCGGCATTGCTACATTGCCTAGAGCTATGCCGCTAGCAAGCCTAAACAGACCAGAAAAAAACAGAAAAGCCTTCACAAACACTACTACACCTGTGTGGGATTATAAACTACTATCTGTTTCAGCTGACCACCATGAGCTCTGCATTCTCATAACCTCTGAGGTCTTTGATGAAAAATCTTGAAAGAAAGTACGGCATGGAACATGTCTGCGGGAGGTCAAAGGTCCCCTGCTGTCAAAGTACGAACCTGACTATACACAGCTGCAGCATTTTGTTTGGAATGGGAAACATTTGTAAGGGTTTGAATAAAGGTTATTGTTCCACAGCCCACGCCATAACGTAGTTCATCAAACTTTTCTAATGATAGCAGAGGCAGGCCTGTTTAAAATGGTAACCACACTGCCATGTTCTGCATTGGACCCTGCTCAGGAACATGTCCATTCTTGCATCACCTGGCTTCTCGCACTGTTGTGAACTCATTCAACCTGATCACTGTAGCTACAGTAACTGCAACACAAGCTCAATATTTCTAAACACAGAGGAATGATACGTGAAAACCCTTTTCTGGGAAACACTGCCAGGTGATCTCAACATTGCTCCTTTTACTATATGGCAACTTTTATCACAAGATATTGTGACATTAAGTGACATTTAGAGATGATCTGCGTCAACTCCTGTATGTACTTGTAATAATCCAACAACACAAACTACATAATCATGGCAACACAAAGTATTCTCAGTCATCATTCATCA